CCTCCATTCTATTCTATTTTCCTCCATTCTACTCTACTCTACTCTACTCTACTCTACTCTACTCTACTCTACTCTACTCTACTCTACTCTACTCTATTCTATTTTCCTCTATTCTATTTTCCTCCATTCTGTTCTATTCTATTGTATTCTATTTTCCTCCATTCTATTTTTCTTTATTCTATTCTATTCTATTTTCCTCCATTCTATTTTCCTCCATTCTACTCTATTCTATTCTATTCTATTCTATTCTACATGGTCTCTAAATCCTGATTGAGAGACTAAAGAAAATTTAAATAAATAACTGTATATGTGATGGTATTCAGGTCCGTTTGAAAAACAGAAAACGACTAGCACGCATGTGCGGGGGAACCTTTACCGTTACCTAAGGAATGAAAATCTCTCTGGTTCTGCTATGATCACCATAATATATCTTTGGAATGGGGTATTTATGTAGAAGTACTAACAGGAATCGAACTCAGTGTGACTCTCGCTATAGGAATTCCCATTTCTTCAACTCTTTAGAATCCTTTGGAATGTGGCCTATCTCAGCCTGGCCATACACTATTGCGGGCTTTCAAAAACGTGATCAGAAGCCATTTCATTTCCTGACTAAATGGGAAAAAGCCCTCTTAGGTTTGGGCTAATTAGTTAAATAATAATCAGCAGGAATAAATGGAGATTTGAGAAATAACAATTGTTGGATCCTCGGGTTAGCAACAGTTCAAAGTCACAGAAAAAGGCCCCGCCTGCAGGCCCGTGCATGGGCACCGCCCCCCCCCCCACAGTGCATGTGCCCCCCATTTTGGTGCCTCTGATCTTGGAACCAAAAACGGGGCGCGGGGGTGCCTCGCATAACACCCCCCCTGCCTACCTCAGTGCCGCACGACCTACCCCCACCCCCACGCATGCACACGCGTCTCCCAGCAGAGACCTGAAAATCAGATGGCCGGCGGGAGGCGTGCACACGCATGCGCAGTGGAGCCGTCCTGGGCGACAGCTCGCGTGCCCGCAAAGATGCCATAGGTTCTCCATCACGGATATAGGGTTTCCTGCCTGAGCATGGGGTTGGACTAGAAGACCTCCAAGGTCCCTTCCAACTCTGTTATTCTATTCTATTCTAAACTGTCAATTGACCAAGATGAGCTGGTGGATTTGCTTCTTTTCTATCTATTCTCTGATGTAAGTCACCCACCTGTTTCCTATCCTCAATGAGCCAGACGCCCCAAGGAAACGGCTCTCCATGTCCTGTCTAGCCTAAGAATGTCTGGGATGTAACGCAATCAAGCAAATAATTAACTTATCGTCTGAAATTGTTGACTCCTGATGCAATGTTTTCAGAAGGCAGAGAAATTCAATTTGTAAACCTAGGAGGAACTTCATTATTCATTATTGTTCTGATACGAAGAAATGGATTTGATCCATTCTGCATAAAAGCTGTGAAAATGAGTTGAAGTAATATGTGTTATAGGTTCGAGACAAAAATTGAATGAATTATGCCCATGGGTTTTTTAAAAAGTTCTTTGCCCCCCCCCCTTCTGCTGCATTTAGTGTTTTAATCACTATAATATAAATACTTTTTAAAATTTTTTATAATTCCTATTGTATTTCTTTGTCACTGTATTCGTTTTTTAAAATGAAATTCTACCCTACAAATGTCCCTCAATCATCTGTCAAGTCCACTTTTGATAACAGTTTCTGTTTGAATAATAGAATATAAAAGCTTATGGAAATGAATCTTATAGTTCCTTGTTTTAAAATATTTATTATTCCTTGTTTGGATATAAAACATGTTTCATTTGTTTTGATGATGAATATGTTTCTGAGATTATATTCGGATATCCTGAATGAATTTTTTCCCTGTTCCATTTTTTAAAAAAAATTCTGGAACTCATTTATTTACATAAGAAATTCAGTTCTGCCTTTCCACTATAATCAGAGCTGGTTATATAAGAACTTTAGAACAATAATATTTTAAAACACTGAGATCATTACTACTGCCGAAAACCCTAATATATACCCTATCAAACAGGCAATAAATTAAATTTGTTCACAGGAAAGGTAAATATAAAACATTTTTATTAAGACAGTTTCACAACTAAGTAAAACTAGCAGGTTTTTAAATTGTGTGGTTTCCAGTCACATTTGCTGATTTTAGTATTGTCTATTCAGAGTTGTGTGAAATCCAAGGTGGCAGTTCTTTAGCTGGTACAGATCTTCATACGCATCAAATTCTTGATGTTTTTATGTATTTGATGTATATGTGTGGATCCAAATAGCGTAGTCTTTTGCAATTAACAAGTAGAAATTAGATAGTTAGGGTTAGATAGGATAGATCTATCTTATATTTATCTATCTATCTATCTATCTATCTATCTATCTATCTATCTATCTATCTATCTATCTATCTATCATCTATCTANTAGGGCAGTTATGGCTAACCTTTTTGTTGTTGCGTGCCAAAAGCGTGTCTGCACCCATAACACAATGCGCGCGTGAACCCCCTCCACCTGGCGCTCCCCTCCATGCCTACGCCCGTCCCCCCCATGCCTATTTTTGGCTTCCAGGTTGGTGCAGGAGGCTTTCCAATGCCAAAACGGGGCTCATGGGCACTGCGCAAGGCCCCAAAATGCAATGCAAGCACCCCTCCATGCGCTCCACCCCCTGTGCATGCCTACATTTCCCCCATGCGCCCCTACCCTTGGGCATATGCAGCAGAGATCTAAGACTAGCTGGCCGGCGGGAGGCGCACCACATGTGCAGTGGAGCTGGGTTGGGGGGACAGTTGGCGTGCCCGCAGAGAGGGCGTGCCAGAAGTTCGCCATCGCGGGTATAGGGTTTCTTGCTTGAGCAGGGGGTTGGAATAGAACAGCTCCAAGCTCTCTTCCAACTCTGTTATTCTGTCTCTTTCATTACAGACCAAAGATTCTAATGGAACTTTTCATTTGAAAATTAGAAGTTGACGAAAGGCTGAGCTTTATATATGATTAGCGCTGTAACTGTTGTTAACGCCATCAGATTACGATAGTGCCTGCGTCTTGTTATATTGTGTACAGGGTGAGAAAAGACGTGGCTCAGCTTCAGAAAGTTATGTTTGTTTGTTTGTTTTTTATAATTTCAGGATGTGAAATTGACAGCCAGCAATGATGACTACTACTTCGTGTTTGAGGATTATTTATATCAGGTAAGTATTTACGTGGAGCAAATGGCAAATCATACGTCACTGGAAGAAGGACATTTGGGCCAGAGTAGAGTTTGTTCTGTTTGCTTTGTAGATCAAATAAAACTTGTAATGCAACAGCTGCTCTTAAGTAGAGCTGCAGTGCGTTGCTATGTGTCTCTACACAAGAGTAAATTCCATTTATGTTTTGTGGGGCACGTGCGCTCGCCTACCACTTCCAACGGCCCCGTTCCGAATGGGCTACGGGCCAATAGTGGGACCGGGATTGGGGACCCTTGTTGTAGAACATAAGATTGGCCCCTACTTGCTCATGTCCCCGAAGACCAGTGGTGGGATACTACCGGTACACCCCGGTACAGGTGTACCGGTGCCTGCTGGGAGCACCAGGTACTGTTACCGTAAAGTGCTCTGGAGGGCCCACCTGCCGCCCTTAACCTATATTTGAGCCGATCGGTGCTTTTGCACATGGGCATGGAGTGTACGGCGCCTGTGCAATGCTCCTCGGAGCAGCTGGAGCGTTGCGGGTGGTAAGTACGCACGTGCACGCTGTGCGCGTGCTGCGCGTGTGCATGTGGTGGACTCCCGGCCCCGTTGCACTGTCCTGTTGAAGACCTAGTTTTGCCAAGGGGACCCCAGTTTGGAATGGGCTACTACGGGCTCGGGAGCTAACATAATGGCCAGTTCGGAGAACCTCCAAATCCTAACCCTGGTTGGCCCTGGCCCTCCCACTCCTACTCCTCACCTCCCAGGAGTCTCCACGTGGCCCGTTTTGGATGTGAGGTAAGTGCAGGGCCCATGCGGAGGCTCGGAAAGGGGGAAAAACCAGCCTCCTGGAAGTTCAGGAAGTCTGGAAACGGGCCCATTTCTGGCCTCTGGAGCTCGGGGGAGGCAGCTTTCACCCTCCCAGAGTCTCAAGGAAAGCCGCTGGAGCCTGGGAAAGGCAAAAACACCCCCCCCCATGGTGCCCACCTTGGCCACGCCCACCCAGCCACCGGGCAGAGATCCCGTTGCTGAAATTTTTGAAGCCCACCCCTGGGAGTGTCCTTTTTTTTTCTGCGTAGCTGCATCAAACAAGCATTCTTTAACGTAGCTGACAAGAGAATTCTGTACATTCAGAGAGTAAAGTATAGGCAAAAATCTAATGCTCTCTAAAAAAATTATTAAGATGTTTCTCCAATTGCCTTGCTACTAATAAAGCTTGCAGAATAGAAGCTTGTGATATTGAAGATGCCATCTAACTAAAACTACAGCCTTAAGAGCAATAAACTAAGACATCTATTTATTTAAATGGAAGAAAGCTGCATTACCCAAGCTGTAAAAAAAAAAACCCCAGGATCACATACTGAACGCACACCAAACTAGGCATGCTACAGAGATGAAGTCAGTTTTCTCTTCGGCTGAGTTTCTAGCCAGCATTTTATGTGTGTAGGTAGGGGACCAATTTGTTTTCCAAAGCACCCGAGGGCAGAACAAGAAGCAGTGGATGGAAACTAATCAAGGAGAGAAGCAACTTGGAATTAAGGAGAAATTTCCTAAGCTGCATAAGCAGAGGGATAGTTTCAAGATTACGTGAAGTGTTAATACCACTTTATAAAGCCTTGGTAAGGCCACACTTGGAATACCGCATCCAGTTTTGGTCACCATGATGAAAAAAAGGATGTGGAGACTCTAGAAAGAGTGCAGAGAAGAGCAACAAAGATGTTTAGGGGACTGGAAGTTAAAACATACAAAGAACAGTTGCAGGAACTGGGTATGTCTAGTTGAATGAAAAGAAGGACTAGGGGAGACATGATAGCAGTGTTCCAATATCTCAGGGGCTGCCCCAAAGAAGAGGGAGTCAAAACTATTCTCCAAAGCACCCGAGGGCAGGACAAGAAGCAATGGGTGGAAACCAATCAAGGAGAGAAGTCACCTAGGAGAAATTTCCTGGCAGAACAATACTGTAAAGCAGTGGACTGGTTTGCCTCATTAAGTTGTGGGTGCCTCATCACTTGAGGTTTTTAAGAAGACATTGGGCAGTCCACTTGAATGGTACAGGATCTCCTACTCGCGCAAGAGGGCTGGACTAGAAGACCTCCAAGCTCCCTTTTTGTGAATTCGCCGTAATTTTCTACCGCCAGGAGGCTTGGAGGTTGGATTTAATACAGTTCTTATTATCACAGAGTTAATAGCCGTGCAGTTCAGGCAGGATTGAAGGCGGAACATTGTTTTCCTGTGTTCTACTTTATTATTATTATTTTTTTCCCAATCTCCGACAAAAAGCTATTTCATCCATTTCTGAAAAGACTTGTCTGGTCAAACAGAGTTACTTCGAGGAGACACAAATCCTCAGGTTACCTGCCTAATTGCCAAATTCTGCTTCCGAGTGATAAGGATATGCCGTCAGATGTTGATTTCTTTGGGACTCTTTATAATGACTAATTTGGATATATCAATAACTGTTGGATAAGCACGAAGAGGACAGAATGTTTCCATTTGTGTATAATTTCATGAAGTCTGTTCTGTGTCTGCGTGTCAGGCTCAAGGCCAAAGACACACTAAAAAGCAATGGACTCCAGTCATTTATTTGCTTACGCTTAGTGGATAGGATCTTATCCAAACCAAGGCTAATCCAGGTGGTCCTCGAACTTATGGCCAGAATTTATGTTTCTAAGTGAGAAATTTATTAAGTGGGTTTTGTCGGATTTTACAACTTTTCTTGCCACATTTGTTACGTGGATCACTGCAGTTGTTAAAGTGGACTTAACACGGGAAGGAAGGAAGGTAAAGGAAGGAGGATAGGGAAGGAGAAAAGGAAGGGAGAGGGAGGAAGAGGGAAGGAAGGAAGATAGGGAGTAAAGGAAGCAAGAGGGGGAGGGAAGGAAGGAAAAGAAAGGAAGAAGGAGAAAAGGAAGCAAGAGGGTGGGAGGAAGGAAAGGAAGATAGGAAGGAAAGGAAGCAAAGGGGAAGGAAGGAAGGAAAAGAAAGGAAGATGGGGAAGGAGAAAAGGAAGGAAGAGTGGGAGGAAGGAAAGGAGGGAGGAAAGAAAGCAAGAGGGGGAAGGAAGGAAGGAAAAGAGAGGAAGAAGAAAAGGAAGCAAGAAGGTGGGAGGAAGGATAGGAAGGAAAGGAAGAAAGGAAGATAGGAAGGAAAGGAAGCAACGGGGAAGGAAAAGAAAGATGGGGAAGGAGAAAAGGAAGGAAGAGGGAGGAAGAGGGGAAGGAAGGAAGATAGGGAGGGAGGAAAGGAAGCAAGACGGGGAGGGAAGGAAGGAAAAGAGAGGAAGAAAGAGAAAAGGAAGCAGGAGGGTGGGAGGAAGGAGAGGAAGGAAGGAAGATAGGAAGGAGAGGAAGGAAGGAAAAGAAAGAAAGATGGGGAAGGAGAAAAGGAAGGAAGAGTGGGAGGAAGGAAAGGAGGCAGGAAAGAAAGCAAGAGGGGGAAGGAAAGGAAGGAAGCTAGGGAGGAAAGAAAGGAAGGAAAAGAAAGAAAGATAGGGAAGGAGAAAAGGAAGGAAGAGGGTGGGAGGAAGGAAAATAGGGAGGAAGGAAAGGAAGCAAGATGGGGAGGGAAGGAAGGAAAAGAAAGGAAGAAGGAGAAAAGGAAGCAAGAGGGTGGGAGGAAGGATAGGAAGGAAAGGAAGAAAGGAAGATAGGAAGGAAAGGAAGCAAGATGGGGAGGGAAGGAAGGAAAAGAAAGGAAGAAGGAGAAAAGGAAGCAAGAGGGTGGGAGGAAGGATAGGAAGGAAAGGAAGAAAGGAAGATAGGAAGGAAAGGAAGCAAGGGGGAAGGAAGGAAGGAAGGAAGGAAAAGAAAGAAAGATGGGGAAGGAGAAAAGGAAGGAAGAGTGTGGGAGGAAGGAAAGGGAGGGAGGAAAGGAAGCAAGAGGAGGAAGGAAAGGAAGGACACTAGAGAGGAAAGGAAGGAAGGAAAAGAAAGGAAGATAGGGAAGGAGAAAAGGAAGGAAGAAGGTGGGAGGAAGGAAAACAGGGAGGAAGGAAAGGAAGCAAGAAGGGGAAGGAAGCAAAATTGGGAGAGAGGGACAGAAGGAAGGAAGATCTGTCTTTTAAAATAAAACCATAGCCAGAATTTTGAATAGAAAGTTTTCACACTGCCAATTTGCCGACAGTCTTCATTATTACTTTGCATAACCATTAAATTATTGCTCCTGTGTAAGACATCAGAATGAAAATGGAAACATAAAAAGATAGGAGAGGGCATGGAGCATGGCAAGCTTCTCTGGGTTGGAGGAAATAATTTAATACAGTTCAGAATTCTGAAGGTGGAGAGGTTACGATAGAGAAAACATTTTCTCTCAACCTGGAATTTAGAAGGCTAACGCAATCATTCCCTGTGCATTTCTGGAAGATTATATCTCTGGAAACTTGAAAGAAAATTATAAAGAAGAATATTCAAATTATAAAGAAGAATATTCAAAACCACGCAGAGTAGTTCTCAGGATTTGGGAGGATGAATTTGCCTGTGTTAATTTTTTTCAAAGGCAAAGGTCCTCCTTGCACATATGTGCTAGGCGTTTCCAACTCTAGGGGGCGGTGCTCATCTTCATTTCAAAGCAAAAGAGCCAGCACTGAGATATCTCCATGGTCATGTGGCTGGCATGACTCAACGCCGAAGGCGCACGGAACGCTGTTACCTTCCCACCAAAGGTGGTTCCTATTTTTCTACTTGCATTTTTTTACATGCATTCGAACTGACCAGCATGGCTGGCTGAGGAATTCTGGGACTTGAAGTCCACAAGTCTTAAAGTTGCCAAGATTGGAAACTCCTGACCAGCATGGCTGGCTTAGGATTTCTGGGACTTGAAGTCCACAAGTCTTAAAGTTGCCAAGGTTGGAGACTCCTGACCAGCATGGCTGGCTGAGGAATTCTGGGACTTGAAGTCCACAAGTCTTAAAGTTGTCAAGGTTGGAGACTCCTGACCAGCATGGCTGGCTGAGGAATTCTGGGACTTGAAGTCCACAAGTCTTAAAGTTGACAAGGTTGGAGACTCCTGACCAGCATGGCTG